TCTGAAGTTACCAGCCCACCCTCCCAATTCCACCTAAACTGTTGAACTTTTGACCATACTTGGACACAAACCCAGCTCATGGTGGAAACGTCATCACTTCTTGCCTACAACCTATAAAGTCTCCTTCCTTTAGTTCTGACATGTAGCAGCTTCTCTGGCTTTGGTCTCTGGGACTGGAGAACCCACCTGGGAGTTGTTTTGCTCAAATAAATCTGTTGTTATACCTTTTCAATTTGGCTTTACTTGGCTTACTGCATCAATAGAGTAACCTATTATCAGGAGGCCGCCAACCCATTGCCAGGGACTGGGGTATTGTTGTGATGGGCCTGACCATGCTTTTGTTTGAAGGAATATAGATCTTGGGATTGTGGATTAGAAAAGCAGTTAAACACTAAGTGCTGTTTAATGGGCCAAACTAGTGGAAGACAGTGGGGCTGAATGTGATCTGATAAACTGTGGGGGGCTGGCTCAGAATGTTTCAGAGAGGAAGAATTGTAATCTGTGGCCAAGAGATTGTTCTTGTGTTATTTTTTGATGAAGAAGGTAGCTGCTTTTTTGCCCAGTGTCCAAAGAATTTGCCTGAGGTTAAAGTGAAGAGATTTGGATTAATTTCACTGGCAGAGGAAATCTCAACATAGCCTAGTGTATAGACTCTGTTGTGTGGTTATTAGTGATCATTCTTACACATATTTATAATGAAAAAGAGCAGGAAAATGTGCAACTTGAGGAGAAAAAGAGCACCAGGAAGTGGAATGGAGCTAATTTCTGTGTTCAAGGAGATTGGTAGATTAAGACATGGAATAGCAGGAGTAGTGACCTTAGGGCAAGATCCTACCCAGCTCAATTTCCAATGTGTGAAAAGGAGTTAAAGTAAAACTTAGAGCTGGGTGTGGTATTGCGTGTCTTTAATAGCAGCACTCCAAAGATAGAGGCTGTCAGATCTTTGAGTCTGAGGCTAGCCTGGTCTACAGACCAGTTCCAGAACAGCCAAGCGTAGGCAGTGAAGGAAACCATGGAAAATAAAACTGGTAAAGATTTGATTGAGCAAGGAGGTCATGTTGCAGTTCCAGCAAGCAGTAGAACTTGGCAGCTTTGGCCACATTGTTATGACTTTAGAGTCAAGGATAGAAGAAAGGGTTTATGGAATAGCCCTTTGCAATTAAGGAAAGCGTCTAAGGCCAGTCACATGTTGGGGTGTCTCTTCGTGGAGGCCCAGGAAGCTTTTGTGTGAAGGTGAAGCCCGGACTATCTTGGAGACTCCTTGTTGGAGATGCCAGAGTCATGGGACCTGCTGAGGAGAGCTGCTAACAGTGAGTGGACCAGCACAAGAGGAAGAAGTGTGTTGCAGTCAGAAAAGCTAAAAGGAGTTGGAGATCTGAAGAGAGCTCTGACATCACACATGGAGATGCAGAGTTTGGAGTCTTGGTCTTGTTTAAGTCCAGTGTTTCCTCACTGTGCCCCTTTCCTCCCTTTTGGAATGGTAATCGTTATTTTATGCCTTTGTTTGTTGGAAGTATGCGATCTGTTTTTTTCATTTTGATTTTACAAGGGATTGTAATTAAGAGATTGTCATGAATATCAGAGACTTTGAACTGTAGACTTTTACATAGTGGTAGACTATGGGAACTTTGAAGTTGGACTAAATGCATTTTGCATTATGATATGGCTACAAGGCTACGGGGGCCAGGGGGCAGAATTGTGGTGGTGTGAATGAAACTGTCCCAGGTAGGCTCAGAGAATAGATTGAGACTTGTGGTCTTGTTGGGGTAGGTGTGACCTTGTTACAGGAAGTATGCCACTGGGGTTTGCTTTGAGGTTTCAGGAGCTTGTTGACAGAGATGTTTGTCCTGTCCAGTCCCACAGTTGTTCAGTCCCAAAACAACACACAGAGGCCTGCATTAATTATAAACTGGTTGGCCTATTAGCTCAGGCTTCTTAATAATTCTTTCTTACATCTTATATTAGCCTATAATTTTTATCTGTCTTAGCCACATGGCTTGGTACTTTTTACCAGTGAGGCATTCTCATCTTGCTTCCTCTGTGTCTGGGTGACAATTGCAGACTTAATCTCTTCTCTTCCCAGAATTCTGTTCTACTCTACTTTCTGCTTGGTTGCCACATCTTTACTTTTTGCCTGGCTATTGGCCAATCAGTGTTTTATTAAAACAGTACAATATAAGTGACAGGTTACAAGACCATTGTCCCACAGCAGAAGATGAAGTCAGGCCCAGGCCCAGTGACTTTCTCTCTTCCTACTGTCTGCCAGTTCAGATGTATAACTCTTGACTCCTTCTCAAACACTATGTCTGCCTGCACGTTGCCATGCTTCTCATCATGAGGATAATGGATAAAACCTCTGAACTGTAAGCCAGCCCCAATTAAATGTTTTCCTTGATAAGAGTTGCTGTGATCATGGTTTCTCTTCACAGAAATAAAACTCTTAAGACAGAGATCATTGTCTGAGATAGACCCCAAAGCTCCCATTCTCCGTCTGTGTCTGTTTTGTACAGACAATGCCATCTATGAATTCACTGGAAGTAAACCATCCAGTCAAGTTTATATTAACAAACAGTTTTAGATTTTGCTATATGCTATGAGTTGAGATGACATGTTCAACTTCTAAGTCTTTTTAGCACATCAAAAAAGTAATTTCTTCATTGAAATTGTTCCTAGAGCCTCCAAAAACTTTCTATGTTTGCAGAATACAATGCAAACATTATGAAGTAAACATATAGTATTTTTATATTCAGAAGAAAAGGTGAAAGTTTTAAAAGATTTAGGAAAGAAAACAGGTGTGATTAAAAGCCCCAGCTCTGAGGTAAACATGTGTATTAGTTGTTTTTCTCCTTGAGGTCACCTGCCAAGAAGCTGCTGAAAAGAAGAAGTGTTCATCTGGCTCACAGTTTGAGGTGTACAATCCACTATGGCAGGGAAGGCATGGTGGCATGGACAGCTGGTCACATTGTCCTGAAGTCCTGAAGCAGAGCCAGATGATGGCAGACGTCCAGCTCCATTCTAGGTCTGTCCAGTCAGGACCCCAAGGAATGGTGCCACCACATTTATAGCAGGACTTCCCTCTGTGTAAAACCTTCCTGGAAATGTCCTCACCGCCCCACCTTGCACCCCCAGAGGTGTTATTGGATGGCCATTCTACATCTAATCAGGTTGACAATGAAGAGTAAGCATCACAGTAGATGAGACAGAATTTCTTAATCTCCCCTCCCCCCACCCAGGTAAGTCTCAAAGTCTTCTCCAGTGCTGGTAGTCTAGAATTTTCTTAGTCAATTATTTTTTGCTTGACACCCATGAAAAGAAATAACCATCACAAAATCTCTGAGGACAGTAGCAACAACCTTTGGAATTCTAGTATGTGTCTAAAATTTATGTTAGCTACAGCCTCACTTCCTTGCTGGGTGATAGAGGGGCAGAATTCTGGTTCTTGTACAGTACTGTCTTATTTTATAGTCTCAGTTAACGGAAAGACCTATTGTTACGTATTAATGCCAAACGTTTCAATGATGACTTTTTAGAAATCGGAATGTAATTTTCTAGCTTGGTGCTTAAACATCTCACATTAATTAAAGACAAGCTTGTAAGAGTGCAGTGGCTCATGGGCCTGTGCTTCTCAAATCCCTGAGACTAATGAGCCAGGGAGAGGGAGGAAGGAGGCTCACGGAGCCTTTCAGCCACATGCTTGTCAGAGTCTTGCCAAACTCCTCTTAGGCAATCCCCTGTTTCTCAGAAGACTGTGCATATAATTGCAAAAATCTGTCAGAATCATAGGATTCAAAAGCCATCAATATTTATGTCAACAAGGAAAGAGTGAGGTCCTCGATCTTCCGAAACGATGTGCTCAAAAGAGAGGAATGCAGAGGGCTGGCGGTTGCCGCTTACAGGAAAGCTGAGCCCACACTGTAATTTCACCTCCTCTGGCTGCACTGAAATATTATATTTTTCATTTCAAGCAGTGTCGTGAGCACAGAAAGATATTATGTAACTGGGTCTGGCTCACTGCCAATAAACAGTTGCAAAAGGCCAACAGCATTAGCAGTTTAATGAACGGGGACCATCACATCTTTGGGCACTGTCTGGGTGCAGTGTTGTGCAACCAACTTGGAACTGACCTGTATTCAAAATTATATTCCAGAAGGGCTTCTATTCAAACCACATGGCCGCTGGTGTTCTCTTGATGACGACTCTCTTAAGTGGGCTAAATAGCAAAATTGCCATTTGGACAGCTCTGTAGGTGTGATGGGAGCCTCTCAGTCTTCCCCCCCATTTTAGTTTTAGTTTTCCCATTAAGATTTCTGGATTACACCCAGCCGATGGCAAATGGGACAGAGAAGTGTGGGTGTGAGGTGTGAGGGCAGTGTGTAATTGTTTGAGCCCCACCTGGTCCTCATAGCCAACCAGGTATACAGCAGAGAGCCATCTACAAACAGCAACGACAACACCAAAACAAAACAAAACAAACAAAAAAAACACCCGACCAAATGCACACACACGCACACTCACAGACGCGCGCGCGCGCGCGCGCGCACACACACACACACACACACACACACACACTCCCTGGAGCGGGGATGGGCAGGGAGTAAGGCAGTCTTAGCTGGGCGGACCAGGCTGCTTACTCCATTCTTTGCAGACTCAGTTTCCTTTCTTGTAAACAGGCAATAACACCGACCGTTGGTTTGCAAGGAGGTCACAGTTGACCTCCACAATGCCCCTAGTTAAGTATGTAGCTTCAGGCCAGGAATATTTCACCATTTGGCTAGCTGCTTGCTTCTAACACGCGGCCAGATCTGGCGACTAGATATCATAGACAAGGACTGGACTCAGAGATTAGGGAAGTGAACTAGGTAAGAAGAACGCTAGCGTGCGCCCTGCGGATAACTGCGGCCGAGTTAGGAAACTTGGGGAGAAGAAAGTTTAAGAACCGAGGCGTGTAGAAAGGCCGGCGGCAGAGGCTCTGTAACGCGGCTGACCGGCGCCGCCCCGCCCCACCCAGCAGACGGGTTGGCGAGTTCCGGGCGGCGAGTCCTCGCGCCTTCCCCTCCTCCAGCCGCCCTAGTTGCTCCAGCTGCGCGGGGAGCCCCGAAGCCGCCGCCGCAGAGGGTGTGCCAGCGCCCCAAGCCCACAGGTAGGAGCCGCTGGAGCCAGGCTTGCAGGATTTCCTAGCCCGCAGGGCGTCCCGGCCTCGGCGCTTCGTCCTGGCCTCTTGGAACGGACCCCAGGAGGTCCCCCGGGACCCCACCCCCCCTCCCCATAGTCTTAATTCCTGCAATGTCTGTGCTAGCGATGAGTGGTGCACACTGTGGCCGCAGGCGAGGACCGCTGCCCGGAGCTCAGAGCCGGGTCAGCTGCTGGTGCCCTAGACCCACTTTATCCTCAAGTCCCTGGAGATCCCCGGGGAGCTCTGCAGGATGCACCCCACCCCACTTCCCTGGGCCGGGGTGCAGTGGGTCTGTACGCTCCCTCTAACTAGATGTCTCTGGCTCCCAGAGCTCCTTAGCTCTGTGGTCTGAAGGGGATGGAGATGGCACCAACATCCCGGGCCAACCAGGAAGTGCTGCATTCCAGCGGCTTAGAGTCCCGCTGAAGCACAGTCCCGGGCGCTTAGCCACACAGCTGCTGCCTCGCGGCCAAAGATGTGCAGCGTTGAAGTGGAGGGACAAGCGTGACAACTAAGGGCAGGGCCTGTGTTAGGGGGTTGTTATTTTAGCTTTGACCCAAGATAATTTGAGACAGTTCTCAGGGAGCGAGGTCCTCCAAGCTGTGGGACTGTTTGTTTGAAACAGTTTTCTGTAGCCCAGGCTGCCCTCAAAGTCTATGTAACAGAGGATGAGACCTTGATTTCTGTTGTCCTGCCTCCACCTCTCAAGTGCAGGGATCACTGGTCAGAATTTTTTTAGGATTTTTGCCAGGCCCTACCCCGTTACCCTGGGGCTACCTGCCACACCTGTTTGTCCATCCCCCCCCCCCCCCGCCCCAAACCCCCTTCTCAGATCACTGCCTTCTTCCTTCCTGAAGCTCAAAATACAAGGGCAATCTTAAGGACCACAGGAGTGTCGCATTTGACCATTTCTAGGTCTGTCCATGGAAAGAACAGATCTGTTAATTAGCCAGGCCCACCAGTTTCAGCTTGGCCAACTCCGGATGACTTTCCAAGGGTCCCTGGAGACTAAACTACCAGGAACATCAGAGACCCTTCAAGCCAGGTATGTTAGTGGCGCTGCTAAGGCAAGCCCGAAGAGATCAGGGATCCAGTTTGAACTATTCTGTGTAACTCTTTATGCAAGCATTTCTTTCCATAGCCAGTGCTTTGGGACACACAAGTGAATTTGTAAGCTGCATTTGAAGGATGTGTGGGGACCTTTTAAATTGTTATGTAAGCTAGTATCTGAGTTTTTATGAGCCAGTACAATTAGCTTTCCAAATAAAAAGGGAGCAGTGAAAGGTTTTGAGGGGGTGGCCTCCTTGCTGGCTTGTTTCTGGCATTACAGTGTCTGCAGACACCCGTGTTAAGTTCCCTACAGGCTCACTTAGGTTTATTGATTTACCGATAAATACATGAGTAGCATATAGTTAATGTGGAATCCCACTCATTAGAAGTTTACTTAGCATGTATTTCTTAATCTAAAATTACAAGTGGTCTTATGTAACCCTGTATAATAAAAACATCACAGTGACAATATTCATCAACCTTTAACTTCAGTGTATTTTAAAGATTTATTTTATTTTAATTTATTTAGTTATTCATATTTAGTTATGTGAATGCGTTTGTCTTGGTGTGGATATGTGCATTTGAGTGCTGATGCCTAAGAAGGCCAGAAGAGGGTGTTGCCTAAGCTGGGTGTGAAGAACTGAACTAGGTCCTTTGCGAGGGCACTATGTATGTACCTTAACTGCTGAGCCAACTCCAGTCCCATTTCCACAGGTTTTGAAAAAGTTTTATGTTTTACTTTTATTTTGTCAAAATACACACGTGACTTTGCCATCTCAACAATGTAAATATAGATGTTTGGTTGCACTCAATGCAGTTCAGTCCCTGGGCTATCATCCATCTCCATTCCCCAAAACCTCCCAGCTTCCTTGCAGGGATTAATAACACTTTAATAATGATGGCTACATTGCAAGTTTCAGTTTTCTCACTGAGTGAGGTCAGATTCTTTTTTCAAAGCTTTAAAGAAATGCACTTGAAAAATGTTGTTTTGAGGTAGGGTTTCTTGTACAACCCTGAAACTCACTATGTGAGTGAAGATGGCCATACCTGTGCACCCCCTGAGTGCTGGGACCGCAGGCATGCACCAC